TCAACCCTCACTGACTTCAAGGGCCACAGAAACATATTTTTCAATACTTGACCTCACAGTTCTTTAACTTATCCTTGCCTCTACTCTACTATGCCACCAACGCTTATGAGAATATCCTGAAGTTGTCACTATACCAGTATCCTCTCCATAAACTCAACTATCCTGCTTTTTTTTTTCCCTCAAGACAGGGTTTCTCTGTGTAGCCTTGGGAGATCCGCCTGCCTGTGCCTGCCCAAGTGCTAGCACAACACCCATCTCAATTATCCCACTTCACCATAAATCCTACCCTTCTAGTTCACCTCCAGTGTCCTAATTAGATGTGCTACAACTGGTCTCTTGCTAGGTTAGGTTTATGCTACATTGTAAGAGTCACCATTTTCATACACCTCCACTTACAGTATTTGTTGGACAAAACAACATAAAACTAAATTCTCTATTATTTTGTCTCCATTATTATAAAACTGAATGTGGCTAGAGAAAAATAAAGAATTGAAAGTGACTAGTCTTATTTTATTGACAACTCATTTTATTTAGATCTTTGTGCTAGGATAACAATGCATTAAGGGACAATTCTTTCTGGCCTGGATAAAGACCTAATATTCCAGTTGGACAAGGTCAATCACCTGGCCAAGATTCCACCTCTGGGAAGGTAGGCTGGTCTAACACTTTAATAAGATACTGTGCTTTTTCTTTCCCAAATTCCTACTCACTACTATAGTCTTTTATGGAGTACAGCTGGGTTGCTTTGTAAGTCACCAACTTTTCTAAAACCCACAAAAAAGAATAACTTTAATTTTCCTTTTTCTTCTTTTATTTTCTTTCATCATTTTTGTGTATTTTTTACATCTTTCCATTTTTATTTACTTCCTTTATGTGTATGGGTATTTTTTGTCTACATACATACTTGTGCAGTGTCCACAAGTGCTAGAAGAGGGATTCAGATCCCCTGGGATTGGAGTTACAGTTGTTAGCATTATGTGGGTATTGGAATTGAAGCCTTGTCTTCTAGAAAAGCAGCCAGTTCTCCGACTCAGTAAGCCATCTCTCTAGCCCCTCTTTCTAGCATACTTTCCCTAATTCTTTAGGCTTCCCAAACACTTTGTGTTTCACTCTTTTTCTACAGCCTTCCTCTAGACCATGTGACTGCCTGCCACCACATGGCTGACCTCTGTGCTGGTTTAACTCAAGTGGCATGGATTTTTTTTTCTTCTCTTCTCCATTTTCCTCCTCTGAGGAACTGCTGAGATAAATAACTTGCAGGCCCTAGGGTTGAAAGTCTACTATAATTGTCCTTGAGCTCCTGTCTTATTCCTTTCTTAAATGATTATACTAATGAAACTAAGAACTTGAAGAGGAAACCTAGATTTCCCAAGAATCATTTGGTGATCACAAAGGGAGGGGGGTTCCCTAATTTTTGGTAACATTTGTATTTTTGCTTGATGTCCCCACTGTTCTTTAACCAATTTACTATTTCTTTATAAATGACTTCCATGTGAATTGTACTGTGTTTAGCTGCAACTTTGGTCTCTACCCACCAAGTACCTGGAGTAGTTCACTCCTTCAGTTTTAACCACCACTTGACTCTAGACAAAACCACCCCATCTAAGAACCACTAGAGTAGATTATTCCTACACAAAGTTCCAAAGTGGGCACACAATGCAGGTTTTACCATCTGCTTATTTCCCTGCCCTATTCCACTGGTTTGTTTACATGTATGTTATGCTATGGTGATAAACCGAAACTATTAAATGAACTTTTTGAAGGAGTTGTTGACCACAGCAGCAATTTATACTGGAATGCTAAAGTTGTAGGTGTGGCATTGTCAGCAAATACTTTGTCTGTGTAGAGAGTGTTTTCCAGAGAATGACGCCAGCAAGGGAAAAAAAGACTAGGAGATTGGACAGATTCTTCAGGATATAATGTTAGTCTTCAGTTCCTGTGGAAATTTTTCTTTTTAATTAATTTATTTTCTGTGTTTGGTTGTGCCTTAGTTTGGGTTTTTGTTGTTGTGAAGAGACACTATAACTATAGCAACTCCTATAAAGAAAAATATTTAATTGGAGCTGGCTTACAGTTCATAGGTTTAGTCCATTATTATCATGGAGGGAAGGTTGGTGCCATGCAGACGGACATGGTGTTAGAGAGGTAGCTGAGAGTTCTGCATCTTGATCCATAGGCAGCTGAAAAGAGAGAATGAGAAATGCTTCCTCCAACAAGGGATACCTTATAATAGTGCCACTCCCTATGAACCTATGGGGGTCATTTTTATTCAAACAACCACAGGCTGTTTGTATTCATGTGTGTCTGTGTACCTTGTGTGTGCCTTTTGCCCATAGTCACCAGATGAAACTGTCTAACCCCTGGAACTTGAGTTACAGATGGTTGTGAACTGCCATGTATATGCTAAGAATAGAACTCAGGTTCTTTGGCAGACCAGAAAGTTCTCTGAAATGTTGATCCATCTGTCTAGCTCTACATGTGATTTTTAAAGCCACAGTTATAACTGTCCCCTTCACACATGCACACATGGGCACACACACACACACACATACATACACACACACACACACGATGCTTAATAGCACAATTCATCTAGGAAAAGATGAGACAGAAAACTGGTCACCAATGGGAAGGTTGTTGTTGTTATTAATAGTCTAAAGCTTAGATCTAAGGCATAATGGGAGAGGATACATGGATGAGGGATGTTGTTCCCTGGATAATATATAAGTTTTGGGATTGAGGGAATTAAATTTGTGCATTGAGAGAATGGCTAAAATAACCAAATAGTATATTCCTGAATAAATTACTATTAAATTATAAACTCTTAAGACCCTAAAATTGTATATACTATTTAGGAAATCACTGACTTCAAAAAGACAAAATTATGTAAATTTTTTTAAAAATATAGTTTATTTGAATAATGAATGTATCTATTACTAAATGGAATTTTATAAAAAGCTGAAGCTTATGAGAAAACTTCTAAAGAAGTAACCAAACTTGAATTAAAACTCAGCTCCTATATTTTCCAAATCTTGTGCAAATCAGAATTACAGAATGGTTGTGGATAGACAAAAAATATACTGTATTATGAGAAAAACATTAGCCCAAGTTAGTATGCTTAACCAAATCACAGAAGGAATTTTCTATTAAAGTCAGTGTTTCCAGTTAGGTGTGCTCATCACAACTGCTGGAACTATTTCAAATGCAGGAGTTGTCCAACTTTTCTGTTTCTCCAACATGCATTATCATCTAAAAAGTACACGATTTGAGAACTGTATAACCAAGTTACAGAATAAAAGTTACAAAAGGAAATCTCATGATATTTTAAATAAGTTTTTGATTTTGTGTTGGACTATATTCACAGCTAATCTGGGCTTCATGTGACTCACAGGACACAGTTTGAACACCCCTGGTAGATGTTGAAAGCTCCATAGTAATCCAAAGCATATGACAACAATGAGTAGGCTGCTTTTAAAAAGATGAGGCGACATATAAAGATGGGTTTTCCTTAAGAAGCTTATACTTGCAGTGTCATTTACAGCTCCATACCCACAGCCTGGCTTCAATCAGATCACAAATAGGGCTTCATAAAAGAGGCCTCACTGCACCATAGCTGTGAACTCAACTTTAACTTCAAACAAACCTCTGCTCTGCTTAAGAATAAATTGCATGTAAAAAAAATTACAGCTTATGAAAATTACAGCTTAGTTCACTGATGCTGCAACCACTCAAAGATTCACTGCTACTCAAATGCTTTCTTTCTTATCGGTGTTCAGTGCAATTCCAAGCTATAAGACACACTGGAACAGATTATTTCTGTGTAGATAACAATGTGACTAGTGTAATTCATGTTTAAATAATATGACTAGAGCACCAACATTCTATTTGACAATTACAACCATTAATCAATTAGATGGTATATCATTGTGTTAGGAAGTACTGCTGATATGAACTGGGACACATAACTATATTTTATGCTGATAAATACAAATAAAATAAAAATCATTGTTTATCCAACAAATATATAATAGCTTTTCTTTTGTTCCCCTGGTTTGAGTGTGGGATTCCTCTGATATATGTTCCCTTTTTCCTCTGTTCCTTTGTTAAAACTCCCCAGGAGCAAGTAATATTTTCCTCTTCAAATACTACAATAGCTTTCTGTACTTTGCCTATGATACTTATTCTCACTTTATTATATGTATGTCTTTTTTTTTCCTACTAAAGTAAGTCTAAGAGGACAGAAGGTATCTGTCAAATATATAGGGATCAGTTTAAAGTCACAACTGATCCAAAATTCTTTTTTAAAGAATGTATGCATCATTATATGTGCCCGAGTATATGTATGTGCACTACATGCATGCAAAAGCTCGCAGAAGTCAATAGAAGGCAGCAGACCCTCTGGAACTAGAGCTGCAGATATCTGTCAGCCACCATGTGGGTTCTAGGAATTAAGCCTCTGCAAAAGCAATAAGTACTCTTAAGCTCTGAACATGTGTTTTTCCATACCCCAATCCTAAATTCTCTATCCTCTTTTCCTTATTTATTTCTCTTTAATAATATTTATTCTTATTCCTTTCCCCCAGGTTCTTTTTCTGAAACAGGGTCTAACAAAGCCCACCTCGAATTCACTGTGTAGCTAAGGCCAACCTTAAATTCCTGATCTTTCCTCTACTTCTCAAGTGTTAGAATTATAGACATGTGCTACCATGTCTGATTTTATCTCATTATTAATTATTTTAAATTATTCTTAATTATTTTATTAATCATATTTGTTACGTATTTACTGAATAGACAAATGTTTAAAAAAAACTAAGACTATGAAATTACCAACTATGAAATTGGTAAGCTAAAAATGTTGTGCATGGATATTAAAGACTGATATAAAACATTATCTACTTAAGACCATACTTTAAAAAGACCATAAGAAAATATTAAAGCAAATCGTGACCTGCATATTAGTAACTATATTTCAGTTTTATATATACCAGCTTGTCATGTGATCAGCTTGCTGGGTTGTATGGATCAATAGAATATACTTCTCGTGTTTCTAAATGAAGAGCTCCTTCTTTAGGCCTTGTCTTTGTAGAATAATTACTAAAAGAGAGACATAAAAACACATCAAATATTTACTTATTAATTATTATTATAGTGAGGATTCATTAGCTGTCTACATTTTCTCATTCCCAGGAACTTGTATTTTCACATGTAATTTCATCTCATTTTCCTTTTTTTTTTTAATTAAAACCTTTTTTCTTTTTAAAGTATTTATTTATTTATTTATATGTATATGAGTGGATCTGTCTTCAGAAGAGAGGGAATCACATTCTATCACAGATGGTTGTGAGATGCCATGTGGTTCTTGGGAATTGAACTCTGGACCTTGGGAAGAATAGCCAGTGCTCTTAACCACTGAGCCATTTCTCCAGTCCTTCATCTCATTTTCTTAAATATTAGACAGCATAGGCCCCAATTTTGAGGGCACATAACAAAATAAATAACTTACTAGTTTGGTAATTGTTCAAGTTAGGAGCTGACACTAGATAACTTACTACTCTCGTTTATAAAACAATGAAACCTTAAATGTATTTCAATTAGTAGAAAGTAAATTTTATTAAGTTAGAAAATGGAATTGAAATAAATTTAGAAACTTTTTAAAACATGCCTGTTGCTGGGCATGGTGGCACACATATTTAATCCTAGCATTTGGGAGGCAGAGGCAGGCAAGTTCTCTGTGAGTCTGAGGCCAGCCTGTTCTACAAAGCAAGTTCCAAGACTGCTAGAGTTGTCACACAGAGACACCCTGTCTTGAAAAACAAAAACAAACAAACAAAAAACAAACAACCCAACAACAACAAAAACATACCTGTTTGTTTAATATCAATTGAGACTCTAGAATATAGGGTCCCATGATATAACATGCTAATAAGTGAAAATAAGCAAACAGGAACATTCTAAATTATTTTTAGATATTCCATTTTTTTTTCAAATTTTGCTAAACATGCAGTATTCTGATAGTAAACTTAGAAACCACATTTTCTATATATTTAAAATTTTAATTACTCTTGGCTAAAATTATCTCCTAACTTCCTGTAAGAAAAGCCATGCAAATGACAACTCAATTTTTGTCTTTTAGATACTTTTCTCTTTTGAATTCTTTAAGTATCATTCTCCTAGCGTTTCTTCTCTGATGATATTTCTCCTCACACCTTTAGATATTACATCTCTTTGAGATCTGTTCTCATCTTACTTTTACCTTTTTTGTTCTTTGTAATCTCAAGACTTCCACTCTCTTACCTACCTAAGTCCAGACCCCTTTAAGTACTACATCACAGATGCCTCATAACACTGCCCCACAGCCTGCCTCTTTCCCTTCAGTGAATCCCTTTCCCTGGAGTCATTTTATGTGTCTTTTCTTTCCACATCTAGTATGAATCACAAAGTTCAGGAAATCTATTTTTCTTCAAAGGTATCCTTTACCTGTGCTCCAGCCTCCTGATCCTTGATCTTGCTTCTGGAAATGCAAATCTAAATATCTTACTGTAATGGGAGTTTCAGTGTCTTTAAAAACTCAGTTATGTTATGAAAACATATTTTTGTATTAATCCCAGGTGTAGGATGTGGGGCTACTTCAGATTTTTCACAGCAGCAGACTATTTGCCTCATGAGAGTTCTGGGAATGGCATGATCTTTGCGAGCTTCGGATAAGTTTAATTCTGAGGACTCTGAGAGGGAATAAATACCAGAGCCCAGAGAAAAGGGAAGGGGACCAGGTTCCAAGAAAGAAGGCTGCTGCTACTCTCCCCTGCTGCTCCTGATTGCTGTTGTTACAGTTTGATAAAAAGACATTTCTAAGATATACACATGAATACTACTTGCCCCCAAGGTACCTGATGACCCTAACCAATATTAAGTAGCTAAAGAGAATTTTGTCTCCTTTCCACACTAACCTTTTGTTCCTACCTGGTGTTGGGGTGATGGAAGGGATTGGGGTGGAGAAGGGAAGTAGAGGCATAAGAAACCAAAATAAAATAGGTAAAAAATTATACACGACACCTTATTTCCTTGAAATGATCTTACAGGCCACAGTTTCTTGTCATAGCATACAAACTTTTTCACGATTCAGCTAGATTTCCCTCAGTGCCTGCTGAGTGGAACATTGTTAGTTCCATGGATGTTAAAAACCAGTTTGTATAAAAAAAAAAAAAAGTACTGTAATCTAACTCAAATAAAGAAAAAAAAACAGGCTTCTTTATTACCATATTTGATTCTTGTGGCTATTATGAATCTATGTAAGAAAAAAATAGGAGTTTTAGTATTTATTAGTTCTGTTGAGGTCCAGAACTCTGAAGCCCTTCTCAAATCTGAGGGTGTATGGTGGCCACCCAGGGTAATTACTAGGGCATGTCTGCTATAGAACATGACCAAATGTGCAAACTTACCGTTCTCTATGTTTTATTATCACACAGAAGCTGACACTAAACAAAATGATAACTGCTGAGCCTGCAGAAATACCTAAAGGAGAAAAATAGATATTTAATGCCAGAAAAATATGACATATATTGCTAGGGCCTACTCATAGTGGCACAGAAGATGTTAATATGATTTTCTAATAGATTTTTCTTAACCATAAATACTGAATTATTGAATAATCATAACTGAGCTTTAAGTTTTTCTAATTGTATCTAGGCCATGTTTTGTCTGCAGTACCAGGCATGTGGATCACAGGCTCCAGTCAACTTTATACCAAGTTTTTTTTTTCTGTTCTTTTCAGTTTCATTGGTAAACATTCTTGACCCTGTGGTGTAATTAGGAACATAGAATACCAGAATTCCATGATTTTGCATGACAATTATTTGTTTTCAGTTGTGAAATATGCTTTGCTATCGCAGAATAAAATTACTTATTTCATTTGTACCAAATAATAACAAATGAAATGAGGCTTTCAATTTAAAAACCTTGAATAAATTTTCAATTCTAACCTAAAAGGGCATTTTAATGTTCATGACACTTTATAAAATGCCCTTAAAACATAAAATAAGATCAGATCCAATGTATTAAAATGAAACATTAATATGTAGGAGGTAAAACATGTATATATATTTATGAAAAATTATAAGAAATTTTCTCCAAGTATTTAAGTAAACTCACCACAAATAAGAGGAATAGTTGACCCTAAGGAGAATTTAAAAATATGAAATATCAGTCTAGCAGCACAAGTCATGTCATCCAAGTACCATTACATCTGATAATGTCCCAGAGGTCAACACTCAGCTCCCACTTAGTTTACTTATGATATATATATATATTACACCCACTTTTTTTAATGTCAAAACTCAATTGATATCTTCCCACTTCGATTAAGTAAGTTGTGGAGTTTATCAATACACTCAACTTTCTAATCAGTGACTTTTAGGATCAAATGAAAATATGAACTATTATAACATGTTAGTTGACATGTTTTTGGAACACTTCTCAAGTTGGTAAGCACTTAAAATTTAGCCAAGAGAGAAGTCCATAGTCTTTCTCTCTTTCTTTCTTTCTCTCTTTCTTTCTTCCTTCCTTCCTTCTTTCCTTCCTTCCTTCCTTCCTTCCTTCCTTTCTTCCTTTCTTTCTTTCTTCAAAGTAAAAGGCTGTGACTTTTACATTTTTGCTCCTTTTGGATTATTGTGCCCCATCCTCAGCTATATTTTTTTTATTGACTACTGCCTTTCAGTTAATCTGTTGTATTACTGTTCACCATGTCAAAGCCCCAGGAACCTCCTTCACTGATAAACTATTTCCTTCCTTCATGGGTGGGATACAAACATCTTTGATGCACTTGCACTTACGGTATTTGCAGATAGCCAGGGGAGGGTTCCATTGGTGGTCACCCTGGCACTGGCTCTGTGGACTTCCCTCCAAGGTATATCCATCCTCACATTCCAAAGTCACAGTAGCTCCAAACCGGTATGTTTTACCAGGCTGGAGTCCCTTCTGGATTCCATTTGTATCTTTAGGGAAGCTACAGTTTACCTCTGCAATTAAAGAAATCTTACTAATACAGAGTCATGATTTGTCTTTTTACCAAAAAAAGTAGAAACTGCCCTTACTAGAAAGGTTATGAAATCAACTTATTTCATTATCAGTAAGCAAAGTTTCATTAGAAAACATAAAGCAATATCCTGGGAAGTCTTTATTGTCAACCATTTTACAACAACTACCTAGCAAATTAAGCTTGGTTGTTCTCTACTTACATGTCTATTCTAACAGTATTTAAATAATTTTGGTGCCTTCTTTAAAAAACACTATTTACATTATTAAATGTTCCAAATTACTGTTCTCTTTTGATTCCTAGTCTTACTCTCTAATTCTTCATACATGCACATGATGCATTCTCATTTCTTTGTATATATTTTGAGCATATGAGCCAATAGTGTCCAACGTGCAGGCTGCAGGCCATAGCTGGTCATATCTAGATTAAGATAGCTATGAATATGACCTAACACAAAATCATTAACATATTTAAAATATTATGATATTTTTGGAAACTTGTGTGTACATTTCTTTTTAAAATATTTATTTCTCTCAATCTCTCCTCTCTTTTTCTCTCTCTCTGTATATGTGTGTGTGTGTGTGTCTGCCTGTGTGTGTGTACAAGTACAACAGCATATGTGTGCAGGTGCCCTCAGAGGCCAGAAAATCCTCTTTTTTTGCATCAGATCCTCCAGATATGGAGTTATAGGTGACTTTGAGCCACCCTATGTGGGTGGTAAGAACTGAACTTCGGCCCTATGGAAGAACAGCATGCACTCTGAACCACCAAGGCATCTTTTGCCACACTTAAAACAGTTCTTGAACATGAATTTTATATATGATAACATTGCTTCATTATAAGAAAATTAGAAATTGCCATGCCTGGTAAGAACTTGGACTTGAGTCCTCACTGCTAGTTGTGTGACTTTGGGTAGATCACAAATCATTCTGAGACATTGGAACCTTATCTACAAAGCAGGAATAACAATAGGACCACTCTTCTATGGGTCTCATGAACATTACATGAGATAATAATGGAAGCAATGAGTAGCATCTGACAAATAGCAAAATCCTCAACAATATAAACGCTGACTTATTACTTTTATTTCATAAACATTGTTGATAATAATTACTTTATAAATTTTTTTAAATGCCATAATCTCAGTACCAAATAGGGAAACAGAATCAAAAGAACGTTGTAATTTTTTTCCTCAGCATGTATCCAGGATCACAAGTATGAGAACTTCCTGAACTATGCCTTCAAAGCTTCAGATTGTCACCAGCTGTGTGTTCTTACTGTTCTGGAGTAAAATGTTTGTCATTGGTGTTTATATGAGAAGTTTGCTCTCTAGGCCACCATCCTCTTACACACCACCAGAGCTGTCACACATGTAGAAATATGGTCCTCTGCCTCTGGGATACCTTGCATACACTTGTGACCCCTGCCACAAGCTATGGAAAACAAATTCACCAATTGCGTTCAGGATAATAAAGTCTTGGTCATTAAGGTGAAAGTTCTTTTGGTTCCTGATTCATCTTTCTTTTTGCTATGAGGAATCTAATCAAATTCACAATCTTCTTGCATTAGTCTACCCATTTACAGCAGTTTTATCATGTGCCATTACACCAGCTTTTCTCTTCTTCAGGAATTATCTTAAAAGATTTTAATAGAAGATTTTAATATACCCCCTAGTAAAAGCTTTGGTTACTTTCCTTTAAAAAGTAATTGTTAAGACAAACAAGTGATTTGCTCTCATGAATAACTTAGTAAATTCTGGTGTATTTTCCATAGAGGTAAGGAAGTGCTAAAAAAAAAAAAAAAAAAAAACTTCTTTATAATTTATATCCACAATCATATGACGAAGGCATAGGGATGTTTTATCAAATGCACTCTTAGCATAACTATAACAATGGCGTGACTATAAATAACCTTTACTTAGAAATTATAAAAATCACTTCAACTTTCTACATATAAATGACTAAATGATTATTAGCCATATAGTTATGTCATTTTTAAGATTTGAGATTAATGTATTAATTGATTAAATGCTTAATTAAATCAGACAATTGATCTCTAACAATATTAAGCTGAAAATTCTTAACAAAACATATATACTTGGGACAAAGAACAAAGAACAAAACAGACAAAGTACCTTTGCAATAAGGGACAGGTTGGTTCCAGGTACCCTCATGAGTACAGATAAGAATTGCCTCTCCAGCCAGAAGGTAACCTTGGTAACAGCTGTACATGACTGACATTCCAGGGGAAAATCGAGATATATTACCACCAGTATGATTCCCATTAGGGATTGTGGATGGAGACTGACACCCTAAGAAAGCTTGGAGATAAATAAAAAGAGACTTTTAATTGGGCACAGGGTAACACCTAAGACAATACAATCTCTGAGTAACAGCAACACAGAAAGGCAATGAGAAGCCAAATTGTTCATTCTTAAGTTTGGACAGATGTGTGTTTTCTCTTTATGCCATATATTATTAGAAGAAAAGAGTCAAAAGTATTACAATTTATCAACCCATGGTATTCTATAATCTTTTCTTGGTTGGTTCCAAAGTAGTGTTCACAACTAATCACAACTAATTAATCTATTATCTTCCTTCTATGTAGAAAATGGTCTAAAATCTAAGCACCACACATACAGATACCCAGGAACAATTAAGTGAAACCACACCTCTGTGAAGCTTAATGCTGCACCGGGCAGTCTGATGAGGACAGTCACTAGCAGGACCAAGCTGTCAACAGCTAAAATTATGAGATAATTTAGTGGGTTTGAAGGTCAGTTTCATTTTTCATAACATACAACATTATTCTCCTTGAAGGTGACACAATAGCCTTAAATATCAAAATTTCAGAGTATTTTTGCCAAGTATTTACCAAAAACTATGCCCACTTTTTTCAAACTCATAAGAACAAATAAATTAGAGATTGATTAATCTATAAGTTAACCATCATTTCATGTCCTCTTGCTCTATAGAAAATAAAGAGAAAAAAATCAAGTGAGGAGATAGGAAAAGATAATCCTATAAAAAGACTAACTGCTTTAGCTTTTAGATGGTTTACTTTAGGTAGAATGCAAACTCAAAAGCCTTCTTTATTGTGTAAAACATCTCACTTTTTATCCATGAAAATGGCTTACCCTTTCTGACACAAGCTGGTACACCTGGTACCCATGTGTTATTAGTATGACACCTTATCAAGTGACTGCCATTCATGATGAAGCCTTGATTGCAGACAAAATGTACTGTGTCATTATGGAAATATGCAGACTGAGTTTTATTGAGTTTGTATCCATGTTTGACTTCTGGATCAGGGCAATGAGTTAGAGGAGAAGATTGTAAGCACTGTGGTGGAGGTCCACTCCAAGATCCATGTCCTTTAGAATCATTTATGCACTGCAAACTTTTCTTTCCCAAAAGATAGAATCCTTGATCACATTCATAAGAGACTTCATTTCCATACTGGAAGTGCGCTGCCATCATGCCTGTATGACTACCATTTGCAACCTTTGGTGGAGGTTGACAGAGAATAACTGCAGAAGAGATTTAGAGAATTTGAGCCTTCATCCCAAGATAAATAGCACTATGCAAGTGCCTTATATTTTATATGAATAGAAAATTGTTTAAGTTTTGGAAACTAGAACATACTTTTGGCTAAACAACTTTATCAAATGCCGTGTAAGTAACACATATTCATTCCAAAAACTTCAGAAAATAAAATGGAGTGTAAAGAAAAAATATGTGTTCTTATATCCCAGAAATATGGTCCACATAATTTTCTGTTTAGCAACATTAGAACATATATTCATATCCACATGCATATAGTAAATGCTCATTCCTGCCTGGCAATTTGTTTCTCAGTGCTAGTTTTGATCAAAACTAGTTTCGTCTTATACATAGCAGGGAGAAGTATAAACTGTTAAAGTAGTTGTAAACTTGCTCTCCACTAATTGAGTTTACCTTTCTAACTCCCTGATCCATGGTTGGCTTTCCCCATGCCCAAAATTTACCTGTACAAATTGCAATCTTTTGGAACCAAGTCCCATTCTTAGCATTTTGACACTTTTTGTAAGTATGTCCAGTCAACTGGTACCTAGAAAAAGATATTATATTACATTTCTTCTCAATATTTCCTTTCTGTATCATAGACTGTACAACTATAGAGGTACTTCTAAATGAGCCTTTTGGCATGGAGAAACTTAAAACTTTTGGTCATTCAAATCAGAAAACTATTTCTATATAAAAAACACTGAGAAAAACCCTTCCCATGTCAGAAAAGCAGGCAGAAGCTACAAGTTAGACCATTGCAGGTAGGAGCATTGAGGAATCCCCAAAGGGTTTTTACCAAGACAAGCTGTGGGAAGAGTTAATACACAGTTTACACTGGGCATTCTGTCTTAGAGTGGACAACTTTACACTCACCCATTTTGACAGGTTCTATTCACTAGTTTTACATGTGTGTCATCTAGAGGGTCAGGAAGTTCTCTCATAGGCTCACATTCTTCTGGAGGGACAAAATTGAGATTGCTTTTAAATTCCTCATAGCAAAAAGAAGGATGACTCAGGAACCAAAAACACCTTCATATTGTGGGCAAGACTTTATTGTCCTGAAGGCAATGGGTGAATTTGTTTTCCATAGCTTGTAGCAAGGGCCACAACTTATCCCAGAGACAGAGGACCATATTTCTACATGTATGCCAACTATGGTGGGGCCTGAGAGGGTAGTAGCCTGGAAAGCAAATTTCCCACATAAACACCAATGACAAGCATTCTACTCTAGAACTGTAAGAATACACAGCTGGTGCCAATTTGAAACCTTGAAGGCATAGTTCAGGAAGCTCTAATCCATTGTGGAATTTTTTTTTTATATGACTATACTTGTGATCCTGGATACATGCTGAGGAAACAAATCTATCCACTGTCTGCCTTCAGGATGAGAAGGTTCCTTCAGTTACTGAGTTGTCTTTCTTTTTGGTATGAGGCTGCTTTAAAGGTCTTCTCATTATATATCTTGAATATGTTCCAAATCCAAGGATACATTTATGCAAAGATCACAATACAACACATGTATACCTTTCTATGGAATGGAGGAAATGTGAAGGTAATCTGTGTCCTTTTGCCTTCATTTCAAGACTGTTTGGAGTGATAGATAATAAATAAGACTAAACTATAGGGGTTGGAGATGTAGCTTATACTTGCCATGTTTGTACAAGGCCCCAAGTTTGATCTCCAGCCATCTCAATTAAAAAACAGAAAAGAAAAATATAAATAAATAAGTACATTTTAAAATTCTCATTGAGTTTGCCTTTTTACCTTTTTCACAAAGTGGTATTTCAGGATCCCAGGTGTTGTTGGCTTTACAACGGATCTCCCTACTTCCAATCAAAATGTACCCATTATCACACTTGAATGTCACAGTATCATTGTAGAAATATGGGGCTTTATTGACACTCATCTTGTTTCCATTTGGGACATGGACATCTGAGCACTGAACAGTAGGGAGGGAAAGATTACAGAGAGGAGCAGGGCCACTCCAGAATCCTCTTCCTCTGCTGTCACTTGTACAGTGGATGGTGTGTTCCCCGATGAGGTTGAATTGCACTCCTTCCTCTGGCCCGGGATAACACATATATGTGACCACAGTTCCATATGGGACATCTTCTGAAGAACTCCCTGTATGCATCCCATTGTGGATAGCAGGAGGTGGTGGGCAGGTGATTTCTGGGGGCATGAAAAAATACTGTAGACATCTGACTCAGGGTTAGAAATGTAGCAGTTTTGACCATGTTGTTTCTCTGGAGAGTGTGGATGAATGCTCATGCTATGAGTTATATTAAACCTTATTGTGTATATAAGATTTGATTTAAACAAATTTCACTGAAAATAAAATTGGTATTGAAAGTGAGCATAATATGAGATAGCAAGACCTAATATTCACTTTCTAATTAAATTAATAATTATTTTATCACAGTCAATATAAGAATAAAAAGATACAACTGATAGAATCATGCTTTTGAAGTATTTCTTGCTACAATAGCTGTATGTTTAACTAAGGAAAATTATTGTTGATTGATTATTTACTTTACAATCAGAAGTTTCATCATCTAGAAAGTAGGCAGAGTACCATTTTATTCTAATAACTTTGAAGTCTGTAGTTGACAGACTTGACACTACAGATGAGACTTGAGTTTCAGAGAAGTTATATATACTGCCAAAGATCATACATGTATTAGACAATAGCAGCAGACTCTGAGTTCATATCTGACACCAATCTCCTATCTCTTCATTAAACCTTGGCATAACGCAAAGTAGGGACTGTGGCTCAGATAGTCATCACTCTTTACATTCTGAAAAGCCCAAACTACAACATAAATTTGGTAACTTAGTACATGGAATTTGACAGATTAAAGTAGAAAGAAGTGACAAAAGAAAGGTGGCAAAATAGTTATAAAACTAGACAAAATAATGTAATAATTCTCATGGCATAGTCTAAAATAAGAAATTTATCCATCTTATGCCACTTTAAATCCTCTGTCAATTTTGTTACTCACCTTTACAAAGACGAATCTCTATAAACCAAGGAACTGTACCTTGACATAGTTGATAAGCACTCTCACTTAACTGGAACCTGGAGACAAAGAGTCACATCATTTGGCCACATGGTTGCCAATAAGCTAAGCAAACATTGTAAGCTCTAGGACATACTGACAAATTTTAGGACAACACAACAGGAATAAAAATATAGTAAATTTCTGCACCATGCACCCATTGCACAGTTCCCATGCATGGAGAAACATTATAATAAACAATCTATGAGCACATGACAGAGAAAGACCTTCGAGATGAACTCTTAAACACAGTTTGCAGTGGGTACTGATAAGACAGACCTCATTCAGGATGAGATATGCTTCACTCACCCTTCATCACAAGAAGAATTAACAGCTGTCCTGATGAACTGATTCTTAGGCCTCTTAAAGAGGTGTGGGCCTATTGGCTTACATTCTGCAACTAAGAAAAAAGATAAAGATGAGTAACAACACAAGACAATTTTAAGTAAAACATCTATATTTGTGGCATAGTACCTTTGCATTGAGGGGCAATAGGAGTCCACTTCCCCTCAGGGGTACAATGTATAGTGTCTTCTCCCATCAATAAATAGCCAGGGTCACAGCTATATCTTATGGATGTACCAGGGTTAAAGTTGAGGAAGTGCCTATCCTCTTTTTGCCCATTGATGATTTTTGGAGGAGCCTGACATTCTAAAGAAAGAATAGATACAAGGAAACATTTTTAGCATTAAAAAAAAAAACCCAGAAACTGAGCCAAAGAAATCAAAATTAATATGATCATCACATCTTTATGACATCTGTCTGGAACAGAGGGTTTTTTGTAGTCCTTAGGTAATTTCAAGTTATCATTTCTCAGTCATGTTTTCTATACTCAGGCTGCCACTGATCTGTTTGGCTCCTGCTTGCCATAACTCACCTCCTATACCCCCAACCTTTTCTTTTTCTTTCTTTTTTTTTTTTTAAGGATAGGGTTTTACTACATACTCCAGGCTGATCTCAAAATCACAATCTTCTTGTATCAGTCTCCCCAATTACAGCATTTTTGGCATGTGCCATTACACCAGCTTTTTCCTTCTGAAGGAATTATCTTAAAAGATTTTTTGGAAAATTTTAATATAACTCCAGGTGAAAGCTTTGGTGACTTCCCTTTAAAATATCATTATTAAGACAAACAAGTGTTTTGCCCTCATATTTCCTAAAGAAATGGATAAGTTAGTAAATTCAAATGTATTTTTGCATAGTGGTGAGGGAGTGCTAAGAAAGCCTTCTTTGTAATTTATATCCATAATCATATGACTGAAGTTATAGAGACTACAGAGGCCCTGCATAAAGTCCATAGGCTCTTCCTCAAACTATTCAAAATGATTCATCATTTGTATATTAGACACCTACCTTTTTCACACACTGGTACTGATGGCTCCCATGTGCCTTGGGCATTACATCGAATTCTCATGCTGCCCTTCAAGGTGAAGCCAGATTCACAAGAAAATGTCACAGTGTCATTATAGGAATATCTATCTTTCAAAATAGATAACATTTGCCCTCTCTTGACCTGGGGTTGTAGACATTGAACTGCAGAAACTGAAAGTTCACAGTGTGGTGCAGGGCCGCTCCAGATCCCAGTCTTCTGACTGTCACTGGTACAATAGATAGTCTTTTCTCCGATAAGAATGAAGTTAACTCCTATCTCTGGGCTTGGGTCACAGGCATAGGTAACTGTGCTTCCATATGGTACATTTTCTGAAAAGCTGCCTGTATGTCTTCCATTAAGAACAGTTGGAGGCGGTGGGCAGAAAATTTCTAGAGATGGTAAAGGACAGTGATTACTGAATCAGTCATGACTCAGGTAATGCAATATAATTACAAATGTTATTTTAAAACTTTATTTTCAAGTATGTCTCCTTTACTGATTTCTTAGTTCTAATTACCAAATACACAATCTTCTTTATGTACATGGCTCAAGTTCTCTTACCAAGATCATGTATTTCTGGGAGGAAGAAAAGCTGCCAACTTTACTTGAGTTAAGAAACAGCACAAGATGCCCACAAGGACATTTGCTCAACTATGTTCATAGTGGCTTTATTTGTGATAGCCAGAATCTGAAAACAACCTAGATGCCCCTCAATGAAGGAATGGATACAGAAATTGTGGCACATTTACATAATAGAATACTACTCGGCTATTAAGGAAATCATGAAATTTGCAGGCAAATGGATGGAACTAGAAAAGACAAAAAGACACACATGATATACACTCACTTATATGCAGATATTAGCAGTATAATGTAGGATAGCCATACTAAAATCTACAGACCTAAAGAAGCTAAACAAGGAGGACCCTAAGGAGGATGCTTAAATCTCATTCAGAATGGCAAACAGGATAGACACTAGAAGCAATGGAAGAGAGAGAACAGGATGGGAGCCTACTATACACAGAGGATCCTCTGAAAAGGCTCCACTCACCAGGGACCCTGAGACTCACAGCCAAACTTTGGGCAGAGAGCAGGGAATCTCTTCTGGAAGAATGGGGGGGGGTAGAAGGACATGGAGGGGACAGTAACCCCACAAGGAGACCACCAAAGCTAAAAAAAA